CCCGGAAATTCCAAAAATTTTTTCCCCAAAATTTCCCAAAAAATCCCCAAAAATTCCTCCAAAATTCCCCCCAAAATTCCAAGAATTTCCTCAAAAATCCCCCAAAAATTAAAAAAAAATTCCAAAAAAATCCCAGAAATTTTCCAAAAAATTCCCCAAAATCCCAAAATTTTCCCCAAAGAATTTCCCCCAAAATTCCAAAATAATTCTGAAGAATTCCCCCAAAATTTAAAAAAAAAATCACCAAAAATTTCCCCAAAAATTTCCAATAATTCCTCCAAAATTGCCCTGGAAATTCCAAAAATTTTTCCCCAAAAAATCCCCAAAAATTCCTCCAAAATTCCCCCCAAAATTCCAAGAATTTCCTCAAAAATCCCCAAAAAATTCCAAAAAAAATTCCAAAAAAATTCCAAAAAAATTCCAAAAAATCCCAGAAATTTTCCAAAAAATTCCCCAAATTTTTCCCCAAATTTTTCCCAAATTTTCCCCAAAATTCCCAAATTTCTCACTGAGAATATTTTCGGTGTTTTCGGTGACCAAGTTCAGCTCCGGCTCCAGGAAATATTCGGAGGCCACGCAGCGCCCCTTCTCCCGCCCTGAAATTTGCATAAATTTGCATAAAATGAATTCAAAATTAACTCCAGAATTTATCTCCAAATTATCCTAAAATTATTCCAAAATTTTGCCCAAAATAAACGTCAAAAATAATAAAAATTAATAAAAAATAATTCAAATTTATTTCCAAATTATCTCAAAATTAAACCCAGAATTATTCCAAAAATAAAGCCAAAATAACCCAAAATTAAATCAAAATTAAACCAAAATATCCCAAAATTAACCCCAAAATTATCCCTCAAATTAAACCAAAATTAACTTATCATGAACTCCGAATAAATTCAAAATTAACCCCAAATTAAACCAAAATTAACTTATAATTAACTCCAAATAAATTCAAAATTAACCCTAAATTATCCCCAAAATTCCACAAAAATTAACCCCAAATTTATCCCTAAATTCGCCCAAAATTAACCTAAAATTACATAAAAAATTAAACAAAATTAAACAAACAATGCACCAAAATTATCTCAAAAATAATCCCGATTTTATCTCAAAAAATTCCGAAATTATCCTGAAATTAATCAAAAATTATCCCAAAATGACAAAAAATTAACCCAAAATTTATCCCCAAAATAATCCAAATTTAACCCTAAATTAAACCCTAAATAACTTCAAAATTAATCCCAAAATTAAACAAAATTTAACCCAAAATTAATTCAAAATTCACCCCAAAATTAACCCCAAAATTATCCAAAAATATCCCAAAATTCCACCAAAATTAACCCAAAATTACCCCAAAATAATCCAAAATTAATCTAAAAATTGTCCCAAAATAATCCAAAAATTTACCAAAATTAACTCAAATTTTTGGGAATTTTTTGGGAATTTTTTTGGGGAAATTTTTTGGAGCTACCTGTGAAAAATCAGCCCAAAAAATCCCAAAAAATTCAATTTATTTCCCTTTTCCTCCCCCATTTTTCCTCCTATCGACCCCAATTTTTTTTCCATAAATCCCAAATTTTTCCAAATAAATCCAGGATAATTTTGGGAATTTTTGGAACCAGAAAAATAAAAAAAAATTCAATATATTCCCACTTTTAACCTCCATATCTCAGCCATTTCACCTCCTATCCACCCCAAATTTTTTTCCCATAAATCCCAAATTTTTCCAGGTAAATCCAGGATAATTTTGGGAATTTTTAGAACCAGAAAAATTAAAAAAAATTCAATTTATTTCCCCTTTCCACCCCCATTTTTCCTCCTATCCACCCCAAATTTTTTTCCCATAAATCCCAAATTTTTCCAGGTAAATCCAGGATAATTTTGGGAATTTTTTGGCCTAGAAAAATCCTAAAAAAATTCAATTTATTTCCCTTTCCAACCCCCATATCTCGGCCATTTTTCCTCCTATCCACCCCAAATTTTTTTCCCATAAATCCCAAATTTTTCCAGATAAATCCAGGATAATTTTGGGAATTTTTTGACCTAGAAAAATCCTTAAAAAATTCAATTTATTCCCCTTTCCACCCCCATTTTTCCTCCTATCCACCCCAAATTTTTTTTCCATAAATCCCAAATTTTTCCAGATAAATCCAGGATAATTTTGGGAATTTTTGGCCTAGAAAAATTCTAAAAAAATTCAATTTATTTTCCCATTTCTCCCCCATTTTTCCTCCTATCAACCCCAAATTTTTTTTCCATAAATCCCAAATTTTTCCAGATAAATCCAGGATAATTTTGGGAATTTTCTGAACCAGAAAAATTTTAAAAAATTCAATTTATTTCCCCTTTCCACCCCCATTTTCCCTCCTATCGACCCCAAATTTTTTTTCCATAAATCCCAAATTTTTCCAGGTAAATCCAGGATAATTTTGGGAATTTTTGGAACCAGAAAAATATTAAAAAAATCAATTTATTTCCCCTTTTAATCCACGTATTTTCCCCTTTTTTCTTTCTATCCATCCCAATTTTTTTCCAGGATTTTTGGGGAATTTTTTGGGATTTTTGAGCCCTGAAAATTCCCCAAAAAATTCAATTTATTTCCCTTTTCCACCCCCATTTCTCCCCCATTTTTCCTCCTATCGACCCCAATTTTTTTTTGTTGGAACCCCAAATTTTTCCCGGATATTTCTGGGAAATTTTGGGGCTGCCCGCGAAGAATCAGCCCCAAAAATACCCCCCAAAAAATTCAATTTATTTCCCACTTCCAACCCCCATATCTCAGCCATTTTTCCTCCTATCGACCCCAAATTTTTTTTGTTCGAATCCCAAATTTTTCCCGCACATTCCTGGGATTTTTGGGGATTTTTCCCGGGTACCTGCGAAGAAGCAGCCCCAAAAATACCCCCCAAAAAATTCAATTTATTTTCCCTTCCAACCCCCATATCTCGGCCATTTCACCTCCTATCCACCCCAAATTTTTTTCCCATTAATCCCAAATTTTTTTCTGGGCTATCTACCAAAAATCAGCCCCTTCAGAGTCCAAAAAAATCCCCAAAAAATTCAATATATTCCCACTTCCAACCCCCATATCTCAGCCATTTTTCATCCTATCCACCCCAAATTTTTTTTGTTGGAACCCCAAATTTTTCCCGGACATTTCTGGGAATTTCTGGGATTTTTCCCGGGTACCTGCGAAGAAGCAGACGCGCCAGAGGCCGGAAAATTCCCCCAAAAATTCAATTTATTTCCCCTTTTAATCCACGTATTTTCCCCTTTTTTCTTTCTAT